CTTCCTGAGCCCTGGCAAACAGTGGGGTTTATGGCCCAGGTGCGAATCAGTCTCACATGGCTCTCTGCAGCCCTCAGGAGGCACAGTTGCTCAGCAGTGCCGCAACCACCCCTGAACTCGGCTGACCGTCGGAGGGAAAGGGGGCAGGTAGCGGTGTGCCCAAGGCCACTCCTTAAACCAGTTCTTTCAGGAAGGGCGGCCTTGGCTTCTGCTTCTGTTTCAGAGCCACTTTCCACCACATACTTGGAGCCTCTTGTTTGCCCAGTCTAAGGGAGTGACTGGGTGTCTTGCCCCAAGTTGAACTTATCTGCGTGGCCTTTGCTACAGCTCTGGGCAGCCTGTGTTACTGGACTTACCTTTCACTTCCTACCTATCAGTGCAGTTGTTTGCAAACTTTATTTAAAAGCAGATCTCTCAGGGTAGGGCCTCAGACACTGCATTCTCAGGCTCCGGGACATCATGGGGCAGCTGTTCTAAGTCTCTGGCTCGCCCCCTTGAAACTTTCAACAGCCAGGCTGACTTCCCAGGCCTATGAAATCAGAATCTCTGGGGCTGGGATTCAGGCACTGGGAGTTTGTAAAGCTGCTCAGGTGATTCCAGTGTGTGAAGAGGATTGAGAGGCACAGGTTCCAGAAGCTCACCCTGCCCCTGAGGGACGTGATTACCATCCATGCAGAATGCACAGCTTTTCTGCCTTACTGAAGAGACACAGAATGGCTCTTAACATTGAGGAGAACTTTGTTACAAAGAAACAAGGGAGGCAGGTCTCTGTTGCTTATAAATATAATTTATTATGTGTTTAAAAATTCTTTCTTACATTTTGTACATGTTGGCTGACAGAATAAATGCAGGCAATTTACAAACCATGGGACTGCAGGAAAAATGGGCAGAGGCAGCAGGGAGAGAGGAGAGGCACATCCAGAGCTGGCCCCTCACCTTTACCGCATAGCAACGTGGTGGATGGATGCCCAGAGAGCGCTCCTCCGCCAGGGGTTTTCTAGAAAAGGAATTGCATAGAAGATACAGCAAGAGGGAGACTCCACTACAACTGAAGTGTTCCATATCTGAAAAGCCAAGTTTGTGTGGTTGTGTTTAAAAAAAGAACAATGACAAAGCACAAAATCTCATCTGGACATTTCTGCAGTTGAACTGTTCCAATGGGAACAGCAAGTGGATGACAGGCGCTTCCACACAGGCTGCTGGGGGTTTTTTCGTTGACAAACATTGGTTGTCTTCTTTAGAGGAAAGATGAAGACCACCAGTTTGCTACAGCTCAACATTAGACTCAGCGAACATGTACAGTACTGCTATACCCAACACACACAGGGCAATAGTGTTCCCTGCAACTGGGCTAAATGCATTCTGTCTAGAGGGTGAGGGCTTCACTACCAGCAGTAGTTCTAGGAAAGGGAAGGGAGAATGCAAATCACACATTCAGCTTCTTCTGATTGCTGTTCTCTTTCTTTTTCAAGGCCTGGAGGAGTGTACATTTGAATCTGTACCCTACATTTACAGATGCCATGAGGGACTTTAAGAATTTAAAGGGCAAAGACATTTTCCACTGGCTGTAGATTTCTTGTTCTTTTATGGTGTTCTAAAGCAAACAGGTTTGTCTGAACATCTAGAACATAGATCAGGTCATGATTCTTGGATGTTGTCAACATAGTGCTGAAGGCTCATGAACTTAAGGCTGTTTATCAGCGAAACCTGTGTGCGATTCACATTCTGAACTGAGGAAATGAGGTCTCCTGCCCCCCACCCCACCACTGGGTCAGTGCCATCAGGTTCTGCAGCAGCTCTCCTGATAGTGCCCATCCTAGGGGACCTTTAGAATTGAAGGATGACACAAGGATTCAGCATATTTGTATGGGACCCTGAAGTGTTATGGCCTTCAGCAATTTGCAATTTTACGAAGGCACAAATCTGAAATGGCATGGTACAGGACTGATGTACAGTAGCAGGTGCTTTGGCTGTGGGCAGCTGACTGTCTCAGGGCAGCTTCCTTGTTCTCTACCCAACAACTGGGAGGCCACAGCACTTGTGACAATTCCCCAGGGATTCTTGACTTAGGATTCCAGATGCTCTCTGGACAGATTTCTTCAATACCCACAAGTCTATGTGTAAGCAGGCTGGGAAGTAGCCCCTGATAATGGCTGGGTTGTGTGCTTGCACACTGGGTAGTTCCTGCTGGTGGATCTGGGGTTGCTGAGAGGCCTCGAGGCATGTGCTCCATTTGGCTGAGTGAGCCCGTTCGTACCCCAGCACAGATCGATACAGGGAGGTAACAGGCCCACTGGAAAACCTGGGAGCTGGGACCCTTCTGAAGAAAGATTTTAAAAGTAGGATTTCTGAAAATGGAGGCAGCCACAAGGCCGATAACACTAAAAGGATCAGGAAGTTAATCGTTAGTCTGTACATACTCCCTACTTTCATAAATAGCAATTTTTAGGCAGGAATTCTGGAAATATTTATGACTCCATTTGGGTTACTTGACCTGTAGGGACACAGGCTTTCACTGACAATGGGTACAATGTATTTATTCCCCTTATGCCTTCGTCCATTAAAAAAAATCATTAGAGATGCAAGAGAGATCTTTCAAAGTGATCATTATAGCCAGAGATATACAAACAGATTTCTCAGGGCAGAGAAACAACACTTCATCACACAGAGGCAAAGTTCTAAGGATTTCAGTCAACATTAGCTCAGTAAAGTTTCATAAAAAAATACAAAAACAAAAAAAAGACAAAGTGTAATAGTTGGTCCCATGAGGCACTCAAAAGGTAAAAATATTTTATTACCTTGAGATATATAATAATAAAAATATTTTTCCTTATTGGATCTACAAAATCTGCTGCTCATTGATCATTAGCATCTTTACAAACAACTGGCTTTGAGCAATGACACTGATTCACAAAAGCTCCTGTTTTGAAAGAAGATGGATAGAACCCAATTCATTCCAGCTGTTCCCATGGTTCTTCTTGCTCTCACTAACCTTGGACTTGTCCTGAGGCCTCTGTGTGAAAACTGAGCTTGTCCAGAGCAACTGTTCAGCAAAAGGTAAAGTTCACATTCAAAGTGAAGAATGAAAATGCAACATGTGAACTTTTTCTACTTGTCTTTACCCTCTCCTGTGGGGCCTTCAATAGTTTTCATTTGCTTGACTCCCTGGGGGGCAGACCTTAAAGTGGCAAAAACTTGTGAATCCTGGGGAGACAATGGTCACCCGAAAAGCTGCCTGCCTCACACTCTGATGACACGGCAGTAAGTGGATCGCGATCAGTGGCTGTGTCCCCAGCAGAGAAACAAGTGAGGGTGCATAAGAGCTATGCTCGCTCCTCTCCAGAAGAAGTAAAAAAATATTGATTTCACCATCTGAATGCTTACTTTTAAGATATCTTACTGTTGTATGAGAGAGATCTTTAAAAATATTACAGAATATGTGGTTTCCAGAGTGGCCTAAACTCGGCCTCCATGACTTCTTCCTACTGAATGGCTCCACTATTTGAAAGTGAAGAGATTAAGATCTATAAAATAATTGTATGCATGAAAAGGGCAAATGGTCATGCAGCCTAATATTGAACACCTCACCCCGGGCACCACTCTGCCTTGGCAGAGCTGATGCTCATGCTGCTCGCGTGAGGCTGGGGAGCGTTCTGTGGGACTGAGGTGGGACCTACGTTGGCACACGTGCTGTTGCACACAGACTGCTCACCCTGAGCACCTCGTTGTTACACATGGGTCATCACCCAGTGTGTAACCAGCTCTGAATCCAACCTCTAGTCCATCCACATCACTGTGAGGAAATCTGAATGAGTGTGGTGAGAAGAAAATTAAAACAGGATGAAACCTCTGTGTTTAGATCCCAGATTCAGAAGAAAGGAAGCTGCTTCTCTTGGATTAACACAATTTTCACTTCCTTAGACAGACTCTCACCTGCATGTATGAAATTTATTTGGAAGTGGAAGCTACTTATATTTCCAAAATCAAATATTAGAGAACTAAAAGGAGATATGAAATGTAGAAAGCCCAACCAAAACATAAATGTTAAAAGTGACAACTACTCCAAAATGTTTTCTTATACAGATACTTATGTACTTCTTCTATTATTTCTATCACCAAGAACCAACTTGAGACAGGTCATGCATGATTGAGTTGATGACATACTTAATGACATGTAATTTTAATATGAATAATTTAAGTGAAAAAATGAGAGAATAAGAACTATATATTTGAGATGAAAAATTCCCAGGTCTACTTGTGGTGAAGGTCCTGATGGCACTATAGCTATTCATTCCCTGTTCCCTTTACCAAACAACTTTTAATGAAGTTTTATAAACTGGGTAACTTGTGTAATAGTCCACTAGATGGCACCATGCACAACTGATAGATTTTTCTCATCCAAATGAAGCAAGCCCTATCTCGCCTCACAAGTTACACAGAAGTCCTAGGAATGAAAGGTGGGACATGTCACATGGAATGATAAAGCGGCTGTCTAAGAAATGAACTGTTGAGTCTGGACTTCTAAGTTTGAAAGCAATCTAACAGCTATTACTTTACTTCAACAGGGAAGGAAATCAGAATTTGTAGTGAAAATTATTTGACATAAATGGTGGAACTTGCAGTTCACTTGATATGGAACATAGCAGGCTCTACAATAGATGAGGGCCTCACTTATCAGGAATCAACTTCCCTTCCCTTTTCTGGTGCTGGGATGTTGAACCAAAAAACAAGAAGTATCTGAAGTGAGCCCCAAAGGCCTTCAGTGGCTTTGATAAGAGAGCTCTTACTACCTTCAATATTTGTATGTTGATGACTTTTTGATGATTGTTTCTGGTAAAAGTTTTGGAATGGATTTATCTGGATGGCTACGTAGTTGCTCCTCTCTACTTTTCACTAGAGATGGAAGTTCCTTTGAGCATCCTTTGGATTCCTAAATCTTGATTTCCACAGATAGCCCCTGACCAACAGTAACGAAGAGTTATTTCGAGAAGTTATTTCAAGATGCAGCCATGGAACAATAGCTCTCTTTCCTCCTCCTCCTTCTAAAAAATATCTGTTTAAAAAAACCTTTATATAGAGTACAATTGGTATCTTTTGGACAAATATTCACTAGTATGAACATCCACTAAACTTGCTCACTACTGCCATCTCTCCCTTTCATTGTAACAACACATTTGTATATATGGTGCAAGGGGTGGCCTGACAGAGAGAGATTATAGACTATATACCTAAAACAGAAGAAGAAAACGACAAGAAAGAAAAAGTCGCATATCAAGGAATCAATAGTTCCTCAAAGGTGAGGATGGAGAAGCTTGGGAATATCAAGAAGTCCCCAAAATAGTCAAGAGAGGAAATATATAAAGTGATGTCTAATTCAGATCCAGGCAGTAACTCGGATACTTCCAGCCCCAAAGTGAACCCCAGCCATGTTTTCATAGGTTCTGATTCAAACACATAGGTGCTTATTGTTCCTCTTGGTTTGGCTCCTGGGCTGTGAACTCTTTATTCCCCACCTGCTGAATGAATTGAGTCCCTATGTCAAAGAGCCTGTCATGGTCCTAAGCACATACAGTTTACACAAAGTAGTCTGTTGACTATTTTCCAGTTACATTTTTTTAATTTAAAAATTTTTGACCAAGACAATAATAGAACATAATTTGTAGCTAGTCAGGGGGCAAGTGGCCCCAGGAGAGGAAAGAAAATGACAATAAAGGGATGCCATCTCTCAGTGAACAGCATAATGCAGTGACACAAAGACAAGATTTAAATGTATAACAAATATGTCACAGGTTAGAATAATCACCTTCCAAGCCAGAGCTATGCAAAAGGCAGAAGTCACCTGGGCAGAAGACCAGCTGACTCTTTAAATGATCCAGGTCAGGGTCCACTGTGGTCTTCAGACCACTGGCTGAGGCTGGAGGCATCACAGTGGGGGGTCCAGCAGGTCAGAACCTTGGATGAGCTAATCCCACCCCTTCTCTTGACATGTGAGGAAACTGAGGTTCCAGGGAGGTTAAATGACTTTGCCCAGGTAGCCCAGCTGGACAGTGACAAGCCCGGAATGCAAACTGGCTTTCTGATTCCCCATTCAGAGGCCATTCCTCCAAGGACACTGCCTCCAGGGTGGGTGGTGCCGAGGGGAGTCACATGCACAAGTCATGCCAAGACTCTGAGGAGGAAGACCCTGGCCAAGCGAGCTGGAAGAGCAGGCCGGCAAAGCCAGTAAGCACGGGCTACTTGTCTGGAACAGGTGATGGAGAAAGAAACAAGCCAAGACACTCCGCCTGTCTGGCTAACCTGCTCCTCCCCCACAAGCCTGGTTCAGTGAGAAAGCGAGGCAGGTCTCGTCAATACCTAAGGACTAGGAGTGCTGCTAACCAAACAGGAGTTAAAAGGAAATCCTTTTACTAGAATACTTGTAAATACTTATCAATAATAACAATGATAATAATGATACCTTTAAAAAAATCACTTCAAACTGCATATTACAAACACACATGTTGTGAAGAAATGATGATCTGTGTGGTTGAACACGAACCACTATCATGCCTGCAAGGCTACAGCTTTATGCATGGAGGGCCCTGGACAGGTGTCTGCAAGGGACATGGAGTCGTGGTTATTTTTTGTTTACACTTCGATCCTCCACTTCCCTGATACAAACACTAGCACTGGTTCTACAAGCTCTTGAAACAGAACGCTGATGGGAAGATTATCTGAGACACTTGGTGCACATGACTTGTAGGAAAAGTCTGTGATTTCTCTGTAAATTACTAATCTGAAATAGACACAACAAACCATCCACAGCTTCAACTTCAAATGATTTAAACAAAAATAGAACGAGCCATGGACAGTGTCTGCATCCCTGTCCAATTTGATGTAAACAACATTTGTAGAAATTGGGTTTGTTAAGAAAGTTTATCCATAATCTGGATAGCAATAAAAAGCGTTTCCTAGGAAACTGTTAAGATCCTGTACCACACCATATACAGCCCAACTAAGAGGAAAATTAGGTTGATTTCTAAATCCAAGGTACACATTTACACAATTGCTCTTAACTCCTATGATGTCCGAGTCGGTGGGCATGTGTATTGGTAGCTGTATCTGTCTGTCTGCTCCCTCCCGCTGCCATCTCGCCTGTGAAGCTCATTGGTCTGGTCTGGATTTCCTTCGCAGCTGTGATCCCCTGTATGGCCACAGCCCCCCCTGTGCATCTCCTCCTTCATTTTCAGTCCCCGCATGGGTCAATACTGCCCTTCTGCTGATAAAGACACTACTGTTTCATGTCTTCCCATTTCTTCCAGGACGGCTGCCAGCATGCTCAGGTTTCCATCTGGGAAGTTCTGTGCTTCCCAAAGATCCAGGATTACGCCAGTTGGGCTCGATTTGGTGGCAAAGTAGTTCAAGTACCTGTAATTGGGAATGGGAGAATGTGCTCAGTAGTGTGATTCATGGACCTGTTTTGTCTTCAGTTTTTACTAAACCTTTTGGTCTTCCACTTGCCTTTTAAGCATCCAGGCCCCACATGAGAAAGTTTGGTTTACAGAGAAGCTTCCTAAATAACTAGCCCACGCTAAATTAGATCAGCCTCAGACAGGAGATGTGATGTTTAACTTTGTTAACCTCAACTCTGAGTAAGATAATTTAAGAGCCAGATGTCTACAGGTCATATCCTAAACAGGAAATCAAGAGACTTATGTGTTCTCTCCAGCCCAGGCTCTGATCATCTTTGACAGGTCACGCCGTGTCTTTTGCTTGATAGTGATGGTAACATCCTACAGAGAGGCTCCTGAGGTGTTTAGCATGTTAATTAACCATTCAGCATTAGGTCTTGATCAACAGCAGATGAGGAGCAATAATTAGTGAATGGATATATTATTTACAGGGGGTTAGCCCATCAGCTTTGCAAAGTGGGTTATAAAACTTGACATTTATGAGTGCTACGTAAGCCAGGAATGTCTTTCAACGATGTTTTTGTAAGATTATGGTACGAGACACAAAGAAGTGGGTTAATATGTGTTTGCAGAATGAAAAGTAAGTAGATGTATGAATTGAAAAAAATGAATGCTTCCCCAAGTCTAAGACTTATCAGTCCTGGGGCCCTATGTCCAATAGAGAATAGTCCTGGGGCTTGGCCATACCCACCTGTCCAGGTTTAGCTTATGGGCCAGCATCCTCCAGTCATGTCCTCTTGTCTGTGGGGCATCCAGGCTGCTACAGAGCTTCTGCCGGATAGGCGGAGGGATGCTGAATGCGCTGGGTCCTGTCATGGTGGTGATGGTGCTCGCTGGGTCCAGCAGAGGCAAATCGATGCCAGTAGGTTCCTGGAGTTCAGGAACAGGAACAATACAGTGTTATTTCCGAAGACAAAGCAATCCCCACTGACCCAATCATCAGCAAAATGCCTTGCTTTGAGCAATAAAAAGAGAATAAGCACTATTATTCTCTTAGTAAGTATGGCTTCTTCCTGGGCACAAGCTGTGGCTGGCTGAGAGGAAAAGATACATTTTCAGCTGACTTTGCATAGCCTTGGATTGATGGGTCTTTGGGTAAGGGAAGGGCTATGTGGAGAGCTCTGGTGGGACTCTGTAATAGCATTTCTAGTGGGATTCTCCAGGTGAGAGAAGAGGGAGGGAATACTAGTACTTCCAAAGGTTTGGATTTCAGGAGGGGAGAAGTTTTCAAAAGGGTAGTTCTTTGAAAATGAACAGATCTGAGATTAACAGGCTGAAAGTTCAGAGCGTCTAGCAACTGACCCTCAGGGGGATGCCCTGGGCAAATGCCCAAGTAAATTATTCCTGTAACTTCTGCGGAAGATGGCCTGACACAGTTTTTGTTGAATGAAATGGAACACAGCTCTCCTCTAAATGATATCAAATTATGACTAATTTTTTTTTTTAAAGAAAATGGTGAACACAGTATATTGCTTTAGGGCAAGCTGCTAATAGCATCCTCCAATTGCTATACACCCTTTTTTTAAAAAAAGAAATCTAATTTTAATAGAGAAAACAATAAATTGGCTCTTAAAATAGTTTCAGCTCATAAAACAGCACAGATGCAAAATCTGAATTTCGTCTGCAGGAGAAACTCTAATCATTTTCTGATCACTTCTGCTGGTTGGAAAAACAAAAGCAAATCTTGCCTGGGAACTATTAAAGCAATATAGGAAAATCTACTTAATCTACTTTCAATGTCATTTCTCTTTTTTAAAGCAGGTAACTCCTTGGTGTGCATAATTAGTAGCTGGAAGATAACCTAGCCACATGTGCTTTCCACCATCATGGTGTCTCTCAGAGTGCTCCGCTCAGGGCGTCAGTGCCACCATCTGTCCATTATCCTCAGAGCCCCGTAAGCCATGCTGCTCCTGAACTGGGGGGGTCGCTGCAGTCTGAGCCCTAGTGCCCCCTGAGCGCGGTCTGTATTCTGGGATCAGCAGCCAATACATACTGCTAGGATTGGGTAGCCCCACTGTCCAGGGTCCATCTGGGGGTTCAGAGGGCACGTTAGAGCAAAATGAATTTCTCCCATAAACAGAGCGTTTTGTAGTATTTGGACTCTAAACCTAAAGATTGGCAAACTGAAGACTCTGACAGTTCTATTTGTTCTTTTGTATTAACTCCTGCACATACCAGGATTTAAAAACTGGTATGAAACACAG